CTACCTATCAGCTCTCCACTGGTTCACATCATCCCTCCAAAGCATAGCCAACCCCCCAAAAACACCCCAAGAGGGGGCCAAAGTCTAGTTCACTCCTCTGGCTCTCCACACACTTCTTACCCAACTCCCATCTAACTCAGCTAGGTTGGTTTACTGCAGCACACTATATCTGGCCTCTCCCTCCTGAGCAAATCCTTTATAATCCTTCTCTTCCTAGCAATACCTAGGCCCCTCACATTCCAACTGATAATTTTTATTATTAACAGTCAAATCAGTGACCCATATTTATCGTCCCAGCCCTACTTGAGAGCTTTCTTCCTTTTCCCCGTTTGCACTGAATTCAAGATCTCCTTCAATATCAGAGATTAATCTTTCCACTTTGATTGTTTTTCTCTTTCTTTCCTTCTTTTTTCCCCCCCACTCTTCTTAAAAGTTCCGCTAACCACTACTTTCTCAGAGTTGGGACAGCTCCTTAGGCGTCTAATTGGGGTGAGGTCAGACAAAGTGGTACGGTGGTACCTAATTCTACACCTTTTTCTGTTCCCAATCTGCAGACTGACAGGTTTCCTCCTTTTTATACTCTTCTAAAAGAGCACAAGTATGCTCCCAAATGTATTCAAGCTCCTCTTGTTTCTTTTTAAGAATTCTAACCTCCTCCTTATCACAACTTGTAAACACCTCCCTTTCCTCTGCTGTTTTCAACTGGGAAGCTGGAGTCTCTGAAGGCACAACATACCCATTATTATCAAAACCTGAAAGGACAGATTTACCTGGGATGTATTGGACAGACTGAAAACAGGGGTTGAGGCTTAAAACCAAGAACAGGGTCGGGAGACCCACCCGCACTCTGCTTTTGCAAAGGTTGAGTTTCAGGAGGATTATGCCCTTTGCCAGCCAAGCCAAATAATGCCAATTTCATTGGACTTTTCTCCGCCTACCCACTACAAAACTATCCTGAGGCTACTACTACATCTCAAGACTGATAATCTTCATCGGGCAAGAGGTCCCCTGTGCAACTTTCATAATGTCTACCCTCTGTTCCAGACTTTTCTCCGCCTCACAAAGCTCAGGAGATGTCCCATCTTCCTCCAAGCATAGCAACTCAGTAAAGAAGCTATCTTCAACATCAGTGAAGTTCTTTGAAGTTTGTAGGTCAACAGTACCAATACTTCTGTATCTTCAATGTCTGAATCACTAGCATCTTGGGTTTCATCTGTCCCTACTCTTTCCAGTCCTCCATCCCTATTCTTTCCAAAGCACTACGCTTGATGCTTCTTGGGTTTTGTCTCTCCTGTGAGATACGATGCAGACTTGTAGCTGGAACCCATTGAAGAGAGTTCCTACTTTGATTGTGGCTTGAGTCTTCAGCCAAATGACAAGGGAGCTTCAAAGAAGAAAAACATGATGATGATAGATCTTTCTTATCATCTGGTAGTTGGCCCTCCCCACCCACGTGATTTTTTAATGGGTCACGTGCAACTTCTTTTAATCCACTTGGGCCAGATGAGATCAGCCCATCCGAAAATGGGCTTGCTTCCAATTCTTTAGCAATGGTCCCCTTGGGCCCAGCTGATAAATTAGGCCCATCCGAAACATGCTGGGACCTCACGTGGACAATTAAAGAAGCCACCTCCCTGGTTCGACCTACCAGTTCAGACCTTTCCCCTCTTGGACCAAAACCCTCCTTCAAAGCCAAGGAACACTTCTAAGAGTTCAAACTGCTGGTCTTAGCGCCAAATCCAACTGGGAAAGACAAAAGGAAAATGTTGCACAGCAGAAAAGGATACTGTTAAAGATGATAAGTCATGCTACAAATCCATCACATTTATTGTGATGTAGGTGTTCTATGTCAAGAACATTAAAAATGGCTTTCTTTTGAAACTTTAGAAAACTTGTTCAATTTCTATGCATTTTTCTTGTCTCAAAAGGCCAGGCTCCATATATATATATACTTATAGCTGAATACAGGGAAACTTCAGTTTCTGATTCACCCCCAACCACAAAAAAAAGAAAAGAAAAGAAAAGAAAAGAAAAACTACTCTTCAATATTGAGGACAACCATTTGTTTGATCAGTAACAGTTCACTTTTATTATTTCAAGAAAGGAGTATAGTATGCACATAATGCGAAGCCCATGTGTAGGCTGACAACTGATTTTTTTTGGCTTTGACTTATTTCAAAGATCTTTTACCAAGAACCAATTCTCAGTCAATTAACTGATCTTTGAACCACTCAAGAATGATTAAATTTAGGTACTGAGCCAATGATCTTTTTGGTTCCTAAACAGAAATGGAATTCTCAACAAAGAAAATAAGAAATAGAAAAATATGAAATCAGATATTTTTGCATAATCAAGACCGTGAGATTGGATTTTGGCATAAAGAAACACCTTTATTTTTATTTGGGGGGATTATTGTTGCAGTCTTGCAGGTATCAATGCAACTTCTTAGTGGTGTTGGGGGGGGGGACTGTTGTCAGAGAGATTAAGGAAAGTTCTCTTGTCTAGACCATCCTTGTCCTGTAAATTTATTGCTTTTATACCTATAAATTTATTAACCAAATCTGTAGTTCCAAAGATTAATTGGTTGATGCAGATACAGAAATCAAGGAAGGAATTCAAGGACAAATAAATCAGTTTTCCAGTTCATACACCAATTTCAAAATTTTGGGTGATAGGGATGTTGTTATTTTGATTTTTTAAATTTATTTTTTTAGTTTGTAGGTGTTTTAGAAATTTGGAATAAGGGTTTTTAAGTCTTTAAGTAATTTACTGAAATTACTAGTTGTGGTAACTTTTGACTTACCCACGATTACTATTTATAGTAATTGCAATTTACTATTTTTAATAATTTTTAGCTTCTTTACATTACTTCAGTTCAGTTTTATTAAGATTAATAATGAATTATTAGAATTGTTTTTGGAGTTAGAGTACTTATTTGACTCCCCATTGGTTGCCTACTTGCCTATGGGTTTGTCTTAGTTTTAAAGCAATTTTGTTTTGGGTTAATTGAACAAAAGTTGGAGTCTATAAAGGCAGACCCGAGTTCTTATGGTGAGTCTATAAATAGAGTAACTGTAATTGAAAAGAGACGAGTTAAATTGGTGAAATAAAGTTTGGTTTGGTGAAATCTGATTGCTTCCAGGTATTTTTCTCTTTTTGCCCCCTCTCTTATTTCTTCTCCTAAGTGATCTATCTGTTTGCTATTTACTCTTAACAGATAGAGTTCTTTTCATTCTTTCTAATCTCTTGCTCATTTTTTGGTGGACAGCAAGTTGTTGACTTTGCTTTTCCATCTCTTTTCTTCATCTTTAATCACCCATATCACCTTTCTTCACTTCACAAGGCTTACCACCAGATCTGGAATTTGATGACTCCTATGTGTTCCACTGGCCACATCATTAATCCCCTCATACAAAGATTTGTGAATTTATATTTCTAACAAATGATTTGTGAATTTATATTGATAAAAAAAGATTTGCGAATTTATCTTGCTATCGTGGTGGAGTTAGTCAATTATTTGTGCCATTAGAGAACACAAGGAAGAAATGAGATATGAGGAAAGAAAATGCAATTACAAAACTACCCTCTCAATTTTTTAATGAGAAGCATCTTTTGTCCAAATAAAATTTGAGAGTGCTATCCTCCTTCTGGAATGTGGAGGTTAGCATTTCTATGGATAAGTACAAAAAGTCTACAGATTTATGAGTGAGATCTTATTGTCTAAATATTTGATTTTTAAATTAGAATTTCGTTATTCTTAATATTTTTATGGTAGGAATTTGGTTTTCTTAGTGTTTATATTTTTTGGAATTCATACGGAAGTTGTTGTTTCTTATAACAAAACAAAAAGACCAAAGGTGAAGTAGGATCCATGTTGCTGACCATATATAGTTAAGAAAATGCTTTGTTGGCTTGACTTGATTTTAAAGTTTGAAGTTAGCCATCTCTGAGATTCTTTAAATTATAGGGAGGTCTAGATTATTAAGGCTTAGTTTGGAAAGAGTACAAATACAAATATGTATCCTGCAAATACATACAAAACAATACAAAATATAAGGTTTTGCACCCTACCTATTTGTATTTGTACTCTTTCCAAACTGATCCTAAGTTATGTGGATGCAAAAGACCATTTGAAATCTTATGCAAAGGTTTTGCCTTTGGCTTCTGTTTCGTTTATGGTGTGACTGTAAAACCTACGTGCTCTACTTTTATTCCTCCTCCTAGTTGTATGGCTATATCAAGGATTTGGTTCAAGAAAATATTTATTCTACCTGTTGTTTAAGAGAGAGGTGTGACTCTAATTTATCTCCTTCTAGTTATGCTTCTTTCTTTTGTCTTCATTCTATTTGTTTCTATTACTTTGTTGGATATTGGTTTCTTTAATTCCTTGCTTCAATATTTGATTGATATCTTGATATCTAACCATAATTCTTGATTCTTCATCCTCATCTTTTCTTCAGGTTTCATTTGGTCATCATTTTTACCGTTTATTTGACGCTTGAATACCTGATTCTTTTAAACCTATTAGATGGAGGACCAGATCTGTACACCTTCTAGTTTTTTAGTTCATAAAATTTTTGATAAATGGTGTCAAATTTCAGCCACAGCTTCTGAGCAATTTGGCTTTACTTGGGTTATGAATTGTAAATAAACCTACATGTCATGAATAATCTCTCATTTTTCTTTTCTTTTTAGGAGGATGGCAAAGTGATATACTGCAGTAGTATTTTAAATAAGTGATGTATTGTGTCTATATATGATAATGGATTTGGCTCTCCCAAAGGGGAAAAACAAAAAAGATTATGTATGGTTTTGTGTTTTTTCACAATGAGGAATTTAAGCTTTCAAAAGAGCAAGAGCGGACTACTATTCCTTTTTAAGTATCATGTTACCATGCCTTTATGCTAGTATGTTATGTGTTGATTAATAAACTTATTTTCTTTATGTTATAATTATATTAAAGATTAAAAATCATTTGGATTTCACTTTCGATGTTGCAGTTCTTTCTAGAGCTAATGAAAGTCCCACGGGTGGAATCTAAACTAAGAGTATTCTCTTTCAAGATTCAATTTAGTTCTCAGGTTTGGGTCTATTTTAATTATTTCTTCTGACTTTTTTAAAGTAATATAAAATAACATAGCTTACTATTTGCCTTGGCTGTCTGAATGTTTACCTCATTTGCAGATTTCGGATTTTAGGAAGAGTTTAAATACTGTCAATTCTGCATGTGATGAGGTATTTGTTTAATGGTTTTGAGACCCTTGATATGTTTGATATATATATATATATATATATATATATATATATTACCTTAGCACTCAACTTTTATTTTAATGACTAAACAGGTTCGGAATTCCATTAAATTAAAGGAAATTATGAAGAAAATTCTTTATTTGGGGAATACATTAAACCAAGGAACTGCAAGGGGTAAGTGACCTCATTAATGATTTGAAATTCAATTAAGTTTTATTTTGTAATGGAGGAATGGAAGATGATACTATCCTTTCTTATATAATTTCTCTTTTAGTTTGAAGGAGCATGTGTGTTTCTTGTGTCTAGATTTTGTGATTATAATAAGTATTTGCTCATTGAATGATGAAAAAGAAAAGGAAATAACTATTTGTGATAAGTAAAAGCTATTAAAAGAGATGAAAGTTAAGAGGAGGAATTTCGTAAAATGACTGCTGCAGTTAACTGCATCCTTATAAAAATGGAGGGAATGAAACAAGGGAAAATGATGTGTAATTACATCTTAATGTAAGAAACTTTGGGGTCATTAGCAATCTTTAAGGTTATGTACCCTAAATTTCAGTTTTGCAAAGTTGTGAATTTAGATTTCAGTGATTGAGGGCTTTGAAGGTACTTGAGAGTAAGATCATCAACATCAACATTAAAATATCAGTATGATGGTAGTTTCCAAGGTCCTGCATGACCTAGTACAATCAAGATGTATAGTGTGGGGGACCCACTGAGGAAACTAGTAAATCTAGCTTGTAGATCTAGGTTGTCCTTGTGAAACAGTGGACAAATTCAGTGTGCAACTCTTAGAAGCGTACTTGGCTCTATTTGAATTCAATACATCTCTCTTGAGAGAATGTGCCACAACAATCACTTGGGCAAGAGTGTATTGGTAGTTCTAAGTCTTTTTTTGGAGTATAAAAAGAAAAGATCTAGTAATGAGGGCAATCATTTGGGCAGCTGGTAAGAGAAATTCTTAGCATAACAAGGGAGGTGGGTGTTTGGTTCAAGTGGGTAAGGAGATCAGCAAATGGTTTTGCTGACGTCCTAGCAAAACAAGGGACTGCAAGGGAGAGTCTTTTTTGGGCAGTTCTGTAATGTTTGATGTTTATTGGATCAACCTTTTCTAATAAGGGTTGAATTCTGTATTTCAGGTTAATTCATCTCTAATGAAAGTTATCGTTTCTGATAAATAAAATAAAATAAAATAAAATATTTTGAATCTGTTTTTTTTAGGACAACCATTCTGAGATGGGTGAGAGTGGATGATCTGGATTGGCCAAGTCTATCAGCCGTTGAGGCAGGTTGGCTAGAAGGGAACTTTGAAGAGGAGGAGATAAGACAAGCTATTTTCTCTATGGACAGGTCAAAGGCTCCTGGACCAGATGGTTTTACTATGACTTTCTATCAAGAATGTTGGGACACTATCAAAGAAGATTTGTTTGTGGGTTTTAAGGAGTTTGAAAACAACCATGTAATTAGTCGTGGAGTTAATGCCACATTCTTAGTTCTCGTCCCAAAGAGATTAGATGCCAAACACCTTAATGATTTCAGGCCGATTAGTTTGGTGACCAGCATCTATAAGATTGTGGCAAAAGTGCTTTCTTTAAGGATTAAAAAGGTCCTTCCCTCTCTCATTACTCAAGCCCAAGGAGCCTTTGTACAAGATAGGCAGATTTTAGACCAAATTTTTATAGCAAATGAATGTGTGGAGGAAATGAGGAGATCAGGCAATCAAGGCTTTCATTTGTAAGTTGGACATTGAGAAGGCCTATGACTCGGTGGATTGGAATTTTCTATTAGAAGTGTTAAGAAAATGTGGATTTTGGGATAGATGGTGCAGGTGGGTGAGTGGATGCATAACCTCTTGTCATTTTTTAGTTCTAGTTAATGGAAGGGTCAAGGATTTTTTCCCACCATGTAGAGGGCTCAGTCTAGGAGACCCCCCTTTCACCTTTCTTGTCCACACTTGTGGTAGATGTGTGCAGTAGAATGATTTCTAAAGCAGACAGGGAAGGGTTGATAAGTGAGTGGAGGATAGGCAGGAGCAGGAATAATGTCTCGGTGACTCATCTTCAGTTTGTTGACGATATTATCATTTTTTGTGAAGGAGGAGACTTAGGGAGAGTGAGAAACCTAAAAAATCTTATTAAATCCTTTAAGAATGGAGCTCTTCTAGGGAAGTGGCTCTGGAGATGTCCGTTGGAGAGAGAGAAAGAGAGGTTGTAGCACAAGGTGGTGAAGAGTATTCATGGCTGTTCACGGAACGGTTGGGATGCCGGGATATCTCAATGGGCGACTCTTGCAAGACCCTGGAAGGCTATGCACGATTTCTAGTTTTATTTACTCTTTTTTTCCCTCTCTTTACTCTCTTTCCCTTTATAAGAAAGAGCCGGTTTCTAGTTTTATTTCCTCCCTAGCTGCTTCTTCTTTGGCCTTAAACTGGGATTTTGGTTTCCGAAGAGGGTTACGTGATGATGAAAGTGCTTGTGTTTCAGAAAGACTTTTTCACTTGATCTTCTTTCTTCAATTCCCTCTGCTCCACTTCTGCACCCCAGAACTTCCCAGTTAAAGAATTCTGGATTAGACCCATTCCCCAAAGATTGCTGTTGTTTGTTGGGAAGTTTTTTTATGGTAAGATTAATACTTTTGAAAACTTGCAAAAGAGGAGACCAAAATGATGCTTATCCCCTAGTTGGTGTGTTCTATGTAAAACTCAAAATGAGGACTGTCACCACTTACTGATCTCTTACTCCTTTACTGCAGCTTTATGAAATTGGATTTTTATGTTGTTTGAATGTAGGTGGAACCTGCCATCTGATACTAGCTTGCTGTTTAGTCCGTCTACCTTTGTATGGCATACAAAGAGAGGGAGAATTATGTGGAAGTGCATAAAAGCATCTTTGTTGTGGACTGCTTGGGAAGAAAGGAACACCAGAATTTTTTGTGAAAAAGAAAGGAGTTTTGTGGAAGTTAAAGAATGTATTTTGACAAGGGCAATTCAGTGGCTGAAAACTCTAAATCTCTTTAATGCATACTCTTTCGATGACCTATGGAGAAGCTGCTTAGCAGTGGCTAATACTTCTACCAGGAAGGACAGATATGTGGTTGAATGGATGCCACCTGGGGAGGAGTTTATTAAGCTGAACTTTGATTGGGAGTAGCCGAGGTAACCCTGGACCTTCAGGTATAGGAGGAGTGCTGAGAAATAAAGACATTAGCATTATATCTTTGTATTCTGGTCCTGTGGGTATGGGAGACTCTATTAGAGCCGAATTACTTGCTGCTGTGCAAGGAATCCAGCTCACAAACCAGCTAGGAATAGAGCATCTAATTATTGAAGGGGACTCCTAGGTGATAGTGGGTTGGTTGCAGGATCCGGACTCTGTGATCTGGGGATTTAGAGATCTTCTCAAAAAGGTTAAATGGCTAACAAGGAATATGACAATCTGAGTTCAGTGGGTAGGCAGATCAGCAAACTCAATGGCCGGTTCACTTGCAAAACAGGGGGTTTCTTGAGCTACTTTGTTTTGGGCTTCTGTGTAATTTCTTTTGAACTTATAATTTTTTTTTTTTTTATCAGTTCTTTTGAACTTATAATTCTGTAGCTAGTTTTAAAGGAAAGGTCACACCCTCGTGCCTTTCCATGGGTTGCCTGTATACTGTCAAAAGGAAAATTATAGAAAACAGGCTTGCATATAAACCATTGGATTATGATGGGATGAATCATGGATTCTGATCTCAACTTTTCAGCTTATAGTGTTTGATGCAGAAAACATGCTTTTAGGCCCTATTGTGAGTTCAAAACTCTCTGTTTACATCATAGTTGATCATGATATGAGTGAAATCATGCCATAACCTCCAACATTGAAAAGTCACGATGTGCTTAATAAAGTTAAATGAAGGAAGAACAATGTTGTCTAATGGATTGTATTTAGAACTCAGACAGAAATATCAGCACACCAGTTTTTTTTCCTAATTTTCCCCTTGTTAGAACTTAGAAGGAAGGTGGGGTTGAGTTCTTCTGGTATCTGATAACCTCTTATAAACTTCATGTGGTATTTAGTGATAGAGATAACCAGATTTAGCTCTTAAAAGTGGTTTTGCAAAAAAAAAAAAAAAATACTTGTAACATGCCCATCTAAAATTTAACATTTTTACTAGATATTTCTTCCTACTCTTCTTTCTTTTTGTTATGCACTTAATTAGATATTGTATATGCAGGTTCTGCTATTGGATTTAAGTTGGACAGCCTTTTGAAGCTTGCTGACACACGTGCTTCTAACAGTAAGATGACACTTATGCATTATCTTTGTAAGGTATGTCACACATTTTTTTAGTTAGTTTTTTTCTTTTTTCCTCTTTCTTTTCTTGTTTTGCCAGGGAGGACAACTGAATGGGTATTATGTTGTTGCAATAACAGATTCTCTATTTTCTAGCAGTAAAAGTATGATTTTATGTTTTCTATTTATTGAATAAATAGCAAGTTCTCAATTTTGAATTCAATGAGTTGTTAACAGAAGCTAAAACTGTTAACAGTAGCCATTTGGGGACCTTTTTTTTTTTTTTTAATCAAATGCACGAAAAACTACATATGAATCCATATCTATATTTAAGTAGAACTCTTAAATACAGTCTCTCTCTCAGTTCCCATTCTAAACTCTTTAGTGACCTATTACTGACAATTAAAAATAATTATGTTGTAACCTGAAGATATTACAAGAATGCTTTTTTACATTGCCATTAGGCCACTATGACAAGGACATGAAAGTTATGACCTCTTTAGGCTGCATTAAACTGTCTGAGTCTTGGATAGTATGCTTAAAAGTAATGAAGAAAGGAGTCCCAAGGATGGATGTACTAATGTGGAAAATGTAGTCTGAACAAAGAAGTGAGAATATCAGTTTCCCAATCATTATTTAGAGGATTCCCCATTCTCTATCAAATTGAGGTGCTATAAAACTATTTTATCAAGGGTGATAGAGACATGGCTACCAGCTAGTAGGTTGGGGATTTTATAATTCCACTTATATAAAAGTATCAGTTTGAGGTCATATAGATTCTCATACTATAGCTATTTGGAGCTGACTCTTCCTTTTGTCACATCATTCTTTTTATAATTCACCTTATGTTCTATTTATATTCTCATACTATAGCTATTCAATATTCAGGCCTTGGTCATTTGTCCCTCTTGGGAATCAACCTTTCTTGTTTTCTTTTGGTAATGATAAAAAGTAAGGCTATATTGCAGTGTTAACACTGCAAGCTGAGGCTACTCTTTACCATTACTTGGTGTAATGGTAAAATCTTGGGCCGGTAAGCATGAGGATGTGGGTTTGTGTTTGAGGGTGGCCACTTGTGCAAAAACTGCCAAGGTCAAGACTGTATCCAATCTACCCCTCCCAAGACCCAGATGGCTGGGACTAACATTGGGCAACGACCTTTTTATATTGTCCTAAGTTACCCTTGGCCACTAATTTTTTAACTGAATTATGAGACTTTTCAAGATTTTTATACAATAGGGTTACAGTTAACAATTAGATGATTATGAGAAATGAAGAGCTCACAGATCTACATGGTGATAGACAGAAGAACTATGGTTAGATGTTTCTATGTTTTAATTTTACAGCAAGGGGTTTTCTGGATAAAAGTAATAAGCATCAATTCTTTGTATTCTAGAACAATGAATCAAATGGATATTGGCCTTGAAAAATGTTTATCGTCTCTCCATGCATAAATTGTTTTATGCAAATTAGTCATTAAATATCCTGATTCCTTGACACCAAATGCTTATGCATGCTAAAACTTTCATTGAACTTGAGTCTTGGGTTTCATGATTCACAGGTTCTTGCTTCAAGGTCACCCCAACTTCTGGATTTCCACCAGGACCTTGTTAGCCTTGATGCTGCATCAAAGGTTTCAATCTTTCTTTTTCTATTATTAATTTCAAAATTCTTTAATTGTTATGTTGTAATATTTAAGCTATATTGAATGCAGATACAATTGAAATCCTTGGCAGAAGAAATGCAGGCCATAACCAAAGGACTGGAAAAAGTCAAGCAAGAGCTGGTTGCTTCTGAAAATGATGGCCCTGTATCTGATGTTTTTCGTAAGGTGTTGTGACTTTTCATATTGAAGTTTTTGTTTTGTTACTGAAACTCAGATGCTTATATTATGGGTGTGCCTTCTGTTGATTAGTTATTGACATTACTATTTTGTATTTTAGGCTTAGCCATTCATGATTGTCCAATGATCTTTAATGCCGTGTGTAGACCTGTTTGTTAAAACATTATGGCGAATCTTATTCATGTTAATCTAATACAATCCCAGTAAGGTGTCATGTTACATTAATGGTCCTTTGTCAGATGGATAAATCTCCAAGGTCCTAATTTACTTCATAGATAAAATAATCCTTAAAATTTTTTCACAACAAAATTCAAAATGTTGATAGGGATGAAAAGACATCCATTTATGGCTTTTTCTTTGTTTTTTTTCATGGGAAGTGATTAACTACTTGCACTTGTTGAGATGGATTTTGGATATGTGGTTTGTAGGTACATGTTTTGTATACCATCCTAACAAAGTTTTGTTGTTTAGACCTTGAAGGAATTCATTGGTGTTGCGGAAACAGAAGTACTGTCCTTGACGACATTGTATTCTGCGGTGGTATGCCACTAGGCATTTAACTGTCATCTTGGCTTATTATCCATGGTTTCTAGTTCCTCTCATGGTATCATGTGTTTTATGGACAGGGAAGAAATGCAGATGCTCTTGCCCTTTATTTTGGAGAAGACCCTGCTCGTTGCCCATTTGAACAAGGTAATTTGCACCAAAGTTTCCTACTATTTTTCTTTCGTATATTAGTATATGTATAGTTCCAACAAGTTCTCAAAGAATATGTTGAATTTGTGCTATTGGTGCAGTTTTGTATTTCAAAAGAACCTAATTACCATTCAACTTTGTAACAACAGGTTGGGGCAAAAGAGGATATCAGAGAGGAAAATAAATATCAAAACTACCATAAAGTTGTAAGAAGCATGTTGAAATTAAAATTAAGAGAATTGGAGGGATTGTGAATTAAATTAAGTATGATTTGCTGAGACCTGAATGAGAGATTATTTTTCTGTAATATCTAGGAAGAAATATGAGATAAGAAGAAAAAGATACATCAGATTTGATTTTTTTTTTCATAGGTGAAGAGCAAGAAGGCTTATAAAGGAGGGGAATAGATGGTTAATGTTACAATCAGTAAAGGTCATTGAATGCAAAGTATGGTTAACCTAGGATATCATGTAAATCAACTAGATGGTGGTCTTCCTTCAAAGCTGTTAACTTTTTAGATTGTTCTTCCATTTTTCACCTCAAGATGGAATATGGGAGACCATATGGTTAATTCAAATATATTTGTAGAGGATGGGTGGTTGTTAGTGATTAGTATTACAATAATGATTTTTCCTTGAAGGAAGTGGCAGCCATTAGAATTTTTATCTGTTATTGATGCACACTGTCAACATTATGACCACCTATCAACAATCCCCCCCNCCCCGCCCCTTCTGAAGCAACTCCTCAGTCTTAATGTTGCTATCACATTATTTTACCTGTGACACTGCACAAGGTCATTGATTTAGCTTTTTTTAATGTTCAGTTGTCTTTGCATCTGGATACATTTCTATAGTCTATGCACTAATTTGCACCTGAGAGAGAGAGAGAGAGGGGGGGGGGGGGATCAGGTTCATATGATCTTCAATCATCTTTCCTTTTTATTTGATAAAACTGGAGTTTACTTCTTTTGGCACATCTAATATTGATTACTTCTTTTGGCACATCTAATATTGAACTGAAACTGCAGTTATCACAACTCTCTTAAATTTTGTGAGGATGTTTCGGAAAGCACATGATGAAAACTGTAAGCAGGCTGAGCTGGAGAGGAAGAAAGCTCAGAAGGAGGCTGAAATGGATAAGGCAAAGGGTATTAATCTAACAAAGAAATCTGTGAAGTAGCTGGGATTCCTCCCTTCATATCCCAGACAGGAACCCTAGCTCCTATCATACAGCAACTGGCAAATCCATCTGTGGTTGGAGGACAAAAAATCAGAGCCTGCTTCAAGCGCAGGATGAAAGACTACCTTCCCATGAATCCTGCAATGGTAAGATTTCTAAAATGATGTTTGATAATGAAGCAGATGAACTAGTTTGGTGGTCTATAGGCTATTAAAACTGTCTAGATATTGGTAAGACTTATTTGTGCACATAAGGAAAAAAACACAGAGTCCCTCTTAAGAGATCCACATGCAGCCCAGGTTCAAAGTGTCAGTGTGATGTATCGTATCGGTAATCTTGGATATGGATGCATATCACGATATGCTTTGGATATGCATGGATACAGTAAAAAAAAAATGGATACACTTGGATACATTGGGGAAACTCTGACAAATCTCAAAAATACATCAATATCAATAAATCTAAGGTTGAAATTACTATCAACGAGGTATAAATACATAAGAATTTCAAACTTTCATTGTTTATATAAAAAGATACATTACAATTAACAATACTGGGAGTCTAGAACATATACAATATCAGACAATAACGTCACTAATAATACATCATAAAATCTACTAAAATTTGACAACAAGACATTAAAATTGTTGTTGGATCAACAAGTTTGATAGATCATTGGTAGGTCCATCTTATAGTTCTTTTTTTTTTTGATAATTGAAAGTCCATATAGTTCTTCCTTACCTTGAAAGTAGAATGAATTAATTTTTTATTTTTAATTTTCCTAAAATTTAAGAAAAAAAACATTTTTTGGCATAAATTATTGTTAGATCAATGAGTTTAAAATATCATTGATAGATCCATTTATAGTTCTTTCTTGCAAATAAAATCATTTAAAATATATAAAAAAATCATTTATATTTTTTATAATTTTCTATAGTTCGTTGGAACAATCTATAGAAATTGTCAAAAAATTGGAAGAACCAGCAATTTTTTACCTATGCTGGTGGTCATGAAGCTATGGCGGCTGCCACTATAGCCTTCAGTGGCAATCATGACCACCGCCAGCTCTGTGAGAGAATTGAAGGAGATCAACACCTGTATCTCTCAACTGCAGGCTCTTAGAATGGTATACAAGAGTTTCTCCATTGTTGGTATTTTTGTCCCTAGGAATGGTTTCCTAATGGGATCGTCCAAAGTGATGGTTTGCTGCTGCTATTCAATTTATACAAAATCATGCTTTTATTGTTAGATTTTCAGTGTTTTAGGATGGTGTAAACAGTGTTTAGTGGGTTTCTCATTCCTTTTGTCAGGTATTTTTGGCAACCAGTGCAGATTCCTTTGAGACTGCAAAACACAATCCGGGAATGTATCCTTAAAGCATGTACAGAGTTCTGACCCTACTCACACTTGATTCTTTCTCATGTAACATAGAAGGTGGTTCTTTTGTTTTCTATTGAGATTTTTGGCAGGATAGAATCAAGAAGTTGTTGTATAGAAGTTGAGAAATGTAAGGAGAAAAAGAAGGCAATTATACTGTAATTGTAATATAACCAGGTTTGTCCAATAGTTAGGATATGCTCACTTCATCGAAGGTAATGTATCTTGAGCTTTCATGGAATCCCTCTCATTGTTTCCATTATAGAATGTCCTTTGAGTTGAACATTGGATAAGGAGAAATGCACAATTACCAGAGAACTTCATTCATACATAATGCAAAATGAAAATAAAGGTTTAAGTGGTGGTCAAATTGTTGTTAATAACATCATATTTTGATCATCTGTTGTCTAATTTGCGTTTTTCTTTTTGTTTTTTGTTTTTATATTTTTTGGGTAAAAGAAAATTCCCTTGTCTTATCGTCAACAATATGTATAATTATTACGTTTCCCTTCTCAATTTTTCTCCACTCCTAAGAAAAACTGAAAAAAGGAAATTTGATATGCAAGGCTTCATGTTTGTGTCAATGAAAACTCGTAGTGATAACATTGATTTTTGTTCCTTGAAAATTGTTCTTTAAATCATTCAACGATACTGCGTATAATCCCTTGTTAGATGCGTCCTATAAATCATTTCATCTTAGAAGAATAATTTTCCATTTAAATGCACATCATCCCTGGTACAACTACAACCGTGGTAATACGAGAGTAGGTTTTGCCAATGTGAAGTTATTTCGTTTCAGAAGTTGAAAAGGGCAAAAAAGGAGTAGGTTTTACCAAGATGATGGACCGGGCGGTCACTGCCTATCTCCATATGGAGCCTGAACCTGACTCACTAGTGTTGGTCAGTGGGACCACGCACAGCAAAAGCTTCACTCCAGTTCTGCTACCCACAAAATGTTCCCATATCTTTCTATACCCACTGAACACCACCGCCGTGTATTAGAAACATCTCCTTATGAAGATATTCCTAATGTGCAGCTGTTATGTCCTGTGGGAACTAGTGGGTAGCAGATCCAAGCCCCAAAAGCTTATCCATCTTGTTTAATTTGATTGCACTTGCTGAATCGGGTGAGTTAAGACGGTATCAAGCTGACTCGCTGAGCTGTTATAGAAGTTCATTGACCCCTATTACTAATTTTAAGCTTAAACTCAAGGTTCGACTTTGATACCGGAAAAACGTGTGAACTATCAATCGGTATCACAGGAGTTGTAACCAATGAGGTGGTTATTTTAGAGTTTTATCAAATTTATGGGAGCTTTTGATTGGTCAAACTGTAAAAGCCCTTCTGCAATCATGTTTTTCTGACATCATAGATTTTTTCCTACACTTCATCATCAGTTTGTGTGGGGTGGGGGAGGCACACATGCATCATAGATCATTTCAGATCGAGTAGACACAATGGTGAGAGAGAGAGAGGTGACCAGACCACCATACTTGACACAACTCCAACCAAAATTTAGGTAGGGCTGTAAATGGTATCCAATTGTCCAAATACAAATTCAAATTCGATCCTATTAAGGCCGATTTGAATTCTATCCATTTATAATTGGATCGAGTATAAATCCACCTCAATCGGATCCGATATTCTGATTTGATTCGATTTAAATATATGCTCTTATGTACTTAAAATTCATGTTTTATTTATCACTAAAATTGGCCTGAATGTTGTATTTTCAATAAATTGTGATAGGTTCAAGTTTTATACAAATAATTTTCAATTCATTTTGTTCATAAAATATAATATTAAAGTTGTTTTAGTTTATTTTATTAACAATATATAATATTGTAATAATTTTTAGTTTAATTTATTTATACTATCTGATTATAATCTGGATTTGATTTGAATCCGCTAGATAATCTGATTCAATCCAAAAGTAAACGGATCAAATTTGGATCTACCTATACCCGATTAGATTTTCAATATGTTTGCAGCCCTAAATTTAGGTGATGTTGGACGGTTGGTGCCCCACCCTCTTTATCTTAATAGAAAGAAACACTTTTCAGATGGGACAGCTTTGCATAATTGTGTTCCCAGCAGATCCCATTTGTTTTGCAGTTTGGGCCCAATTTTTGCATAGCTGTCTCAAATTACTTGGGATCTGCTGCTTGCACCACTGTGTATGTAGCCGTTTCCATAACGAGTCACAAGTAAACACGCCAGTATTTCATACACTGTGTTGTGAATTAGATGAATGGTCGTGATCAACTTTTTGTTCTTTGCAACTATTAGATAAAGCAGATTTAGACAAAAGCAAAATTAAAAAATAGGGCAAATTTCTTAAAGTATTCCTGTGATTTAGTAAATTGACTAATTCTATTTTTGCTGGTTACATATTGTCTTAAAATTTCTTTAAATTATTTGACAATTGTCTAAAACCTCTATTTCTATTTTCTGTCACACTCTGTTCATATGTAACATCATCCGACTGATATTATTTTTTAAAAATTTCTAAAATACCTTTCATCATAACCATCCTTGCAAGGGGGAGAGAGAGAGAGTCGAAAGGCTAAATGCTAAAATGCCATAATCCTAGAACCCTACAACTCCTTCCCTTCTCGGCAAAGGGAGATGTTAGTTTCGTTAATGTACATCATAAACCTGTAAGGAGAGTTCTCGATCGGAGCTCACCCAGGTTCTCGACACTGCCCTTAACACCCTATGAGGGTGTTTGGTTCCATTTATGTTTATTGAGTAAATGTTTTGTATTTGTATGACTGCAAAACTAAGAAAAGCAATTAACGAGGGCATTTACGACATGGGCGCTATTAAGCACCACATCAGCAAAGTACCAATAAAAACTTATCCGTTTCGGAAGCTCCAAAATGAAGCTTCCTAGAAAGAGGCATAAACATCCATATGCCTATGTGGCAGTGTTTACTCAATAAACATAAACAAACCAAATACATACTATAATAAATGGTGCTTCACTGGCACCTGGCCGCTGACTTGGTATTTGTGAAGGTAACTACCTGAATGATAAAACCCATATAGCCAATCCACCTATAGAGTCGTGAGTAAAATCCTCGAAAGGAGGGTCTAAGAGAAGTGATGGGCAGGAGCTACAGCTCCTAATCCTTCTCTATGGAAGGAAACTTTGTTAGTAACTTCAGTTAAGTTTCATAATTGGCGACTGCCCCCATCAACCATAGTTTCTGACTATGAGTATGACGTTCCAACAATTTTGTCAGTTGGGAAAACTATATAACTCACAGCAAGAATCGAGTCATCAAAAACTCTCTGCTAATCGACCTATCTCCTCAAACCTCAAACCGAACAACCTTTCATTCCCATTCTCCATGATAAACTTCGAGACCCCCTTCTCGATACAAATGAAGCTCACTCCAGATATTTCTACAGGTAAAATTCCTCCTTTCCCTCTCTCTAAGCAATCCTCGAAACTCCGCATAGCATCGTTTGCGCAGACCTCGGCAAGAAATGGATTTCTTCCATTCTTCCTTGCAAGAACCTCACCAGGCCAATCCTCTTGCTGTTCTCGTCTCCATCTGCATAGCCAGGAATTCCCAAGAACCTAGAGAATGGAAAACTAAAATTCCACCCACCCGGCTCGAAGTCAACCCCAGTTAAATTACCCATCTCTAGATTGAAGAACCAAGAGCGAAAACAAGACCTAGATCACAAATTGATAGTTTAACTGTTTCTGCTGAGTATCTCTCAGATTTGCAAGGAACCCAGATCAGAAAGTGGGTTATGCACGGAAGCCAAAGCTTTGGGATCTTTCAAGTGGGCATTGGATTTCAGAGCAGATCTATAAGTGAAATCTTAGAAGTTGCCTACGGATCTAACAGTTCAAATGACTAATGAGAGGCAATTCTCTAGGCTAGCAATAATAACAATGAAAATGCAAGAAAATGAAAAGTGTTGGTAAGCGGCCAGAGGCCCTCGATTGGAAACAAGCTTTAGCAATGTCAGTAGAGAACCTTCTTGGCATGGTCAAAGGTTTGGCTAGGTAGTTGAGAAATTCTGGTTTAAAATCCTACCTAGTTGGACACTTGTCCATTGATCCAACGGGCTGAATAGGTCCAAGTGAAGTTTACTAACTGTCTCCATAATCTGAGGGAACTCTTTAACTTAACAACCTAAATGGGTATATATAAGCCCCTCCTCAGAATGGCATAGTGAGATATGCGAGAGCCAGCTAAGATACTATCACTTGGACTTGTGCCAAGTTGGGTCAACCACAGTTCTCTAGTCTTGTACTAGGAACAGGCCAAGTGTATTAGCCACTAGATCAGAATACAGTATTGTTTGCAGGGCCAACAGTATTTATAGGTATCCTTTGCAGGGTCTATCAAAAAGAAAAAAAAAAAAAAAAAAAAACTTCAGAGAAGTGTTTCAGCTGTAGTCCATTTTCAGTAATTCCTCTTCACCCTTTGACTATCTTAGGAGTACTTTAAGACAATATGTAAACAATAAGAGTAGAGTTAGTCAATTTCCTAAACTATAGGGGTACTTTAAGAAATTTGCCCATAAAAAATACCAATGGACAATGAAATCAGTGTGCTTCTTTGCACCACTAATAAATCCTAAAGAACCGAGTAAAATATGAAATCTTTGTTATGTTTCCCTTTTTCTTAGAAAACTATCTAGCTTTATTGGAAAAGTTGTGATCTATAAAAGGTTCTAAACAATTCACAAATTTAGATTTGCTAATTTAACAGTTGAAATTAATGCATGTGCCTTTTTACTCTGTTTAATCTGATTTGATCTTCACTAGTCACTTCAACTCAATATGACAAGAGAGCAATCTAGGGTTAATTAGGTACTCTAACAAATCTAGTTTATTCTCCTGAATAAAGGAAAATGGATACAACTGTTTAGAAAGGAAACTCTCTTTCCAAACACCCAAAAATAGTCATTGATGTGTGAAGGTCTTGTTATGAATATTCATACTTCTTGCTTCAGCCTCACCAGTCTGTCCATTATCCATTTGAACAGAAGCAATTCAACACCAACCAACATTCTTAAGGCACATGACAGGTGCAATATCTGCTGTCACAGAGTTAAATTGATTGCTTCACCATGCATTTGCTGTATTTCATGAAATTAAGTCATACAAATGAGAGTCGTACTGCTTATCAAACTTCAAATCAGCGTTTACTTATTGAAACCCAAAAAGACTTATAAATATTCAACTATGAATAGTAATGTTTGGACTTTTTTCCTTTCTTTTATTTGTTACAACTTTCTTCTCCTTGGTAGTTAACCATTGACATTTGAGGTTGAGTCCAACCTGTTCTGGGGATTT